TATTGGTAATTATTACCTGAAATAATTAAAGTCATAGGCAAAGCAAAAAGTGGTAAAAAAAAAAAAAAAAAAAAAAAAAAAAGGAGAAAAAGGACAGCGTAAGGTCATGCGTGACACCTCATGAAAAGCCAACCTTTTTGGACATTGACGGACATCAAGCGACCTTTTCAAACTTTTTTCAGTGCGACTAACCATGTTTTGTTCCAAATGAAAGAGAAAATTACGTTCGGAGTGTTCGTAGCACATTTCTTCGTATCAATGAGCCGCGGGAACATGGCTGGTCGTCTATCATCTGCTACGGCTCCAAGTTCGGGCGCCCGGCTGGAGTGAATTTATCCGCAAGGCTGACAAATAGTTACTGCTCGCGACTACCAGGCCTTGTCAAGGCAGTAATTGAAGGCGACTTAAATCAAAAGATGAGTTCTAGTATCATGGGGCCGCTTTGTGACCATTATAGAGAGAAGTTGAAAATGTTGTTGGACAGATAATCTTTTCCGGTAACCTCGGTTCATTCCGAGCATCATACACGTAAGACGTACTTCTCTTATAAGGTTATGAGATTTCCAATTGTAAACTAGATGAGAATACCAGGAAGAATGGTTACGTATCTTTTCGCAACCGAGTGGTTTCCTATCAGGCGACCTTGAGGCAATTCTCGTCGCGAACCAGTGATGGCGAACCATTAGTAATTCATTATGTCGCAATATGTACAATTTACAAGTCGGAGTCGGTCTCACCATTGGCTCATACCCTGCCATTATCAATGACTGCCCACTTACAGTTATGACTGTCCACTATTACATGTTTCTCAGTCACGGTCACGCTATGTCGTGCCTCCAAATCCGCTTCAAAATCTACTTCATCATAAGACTATACGATATCTAGAATCTGGTGACGAGTGCCACGCCGTAGAGGTTGACCTCAATTCAGTCACGCAAGCTCACGTAGGCAAGGTGCATCATTCCATCATCGCCTGATTCTGCCTGGCTCTACCTGGCTCACTGAAACGTTCGGTAAAGGACAGGTATCTCGCGTTTGGCAAGGCGTACGTAGGAAACACCATGTTGGTTTCCCAAGACCAGAGCATATTCCCTGGTTCACGTCGTAATTATCAGGATTAAGGCAAAGAAAGCTTCCGAATGATAGGGAATGAGGCGTCCAGCATCAACACCGAGATTTCGCTGGAAAATACGAATAGATTCTTCAAGATGGCCATACTAAATGCCTCTTGCAGGCTGGCATGCCATTCATCAGGGAAGAATTCCACACATGATCCGTCTTTTGCGGGTTGGCATGGTCGCCTCCAGGCCAGGCACCAATCGATCGCGGGTGGCAGCCGTCTGCATCTCTTTCGGGCGTGCAACTGAGTTGTTGTTGTCCACACAAAAAAGTGTTCTTTTTGTACATTTGAGGACGCAGTGAGGCCCCGTAGCCCCGTAGCGGCCGGCCCCTCAGCTTCGGTTGGGGGCCCGGGCGGCTGCTTTGGCGCCCGGTATGTTGCCGGCATGGTCGGTTCTAATTCAATGATCAGCAATGAATGTGCATTTTAAAATTGCATATTCGACCCCGATCGTTTTCTATTCTATTAATAATTTGGTTCAATTCCTTGCAAATATCTTAGCCACGAAGGAATGCCTAGTCCCGTGGCTTTTCGAAAGATCCCTTGCCCTCCCTCAGTCAGCAAGGGGTTGAAGGAATGCTTTTCTTAAGCGCCGCCAACCAACACAATTGAGACTGAATCTCTTCTAATCATCCCTTCCGAAACCACGTCTGCCTATTTGCCTCACAATTCTTCATCATCATTGGAGAGTTTGCCGATCATCCCGTCGCTTTGAGCTGCTGGGCTCATCGCGGTGATTTTGTGGTCAGCGGTTGGCTATCACTATTCAATTCTGAGAGCAAACAACCATCATCTCCCCAACCACGTGCACCCTTGCAACCCAACCCAACGGCCGTTGAGCCCCATTCCATACATGGACAATATGCGCATTGTTTCTCCCTATCACCTCAGGAAGAGCTGCGCCTCGTTGCCTGGCGGAAATCTCGAAACGACTCTCAAAATGACTTTCACTTATCGACATCCATTTCAAGGGTCTTGCCAGGGTAGACGCAGGTTGAGGGGCACCCCTGTATCCGTAGTATGTCCATCATCTGTCCTGTCGCAGG